AAAGAGCACCTGGCAAACTAGACAAGTTGCTTACTCATGCGAGACTGTTGGCTCCTTTGGAAAACAGGTACTATCCCAGTGGCCTATGGAAAGGGCTTGGTTCAGTGCCTGGCTGTGGTGCACCATAAATACTGGTCCTCTTTCCCCAGGGGAGGGCAGGACTGAGCCTTTGCCCAGGCTGCCGGTTTCTAGAAGGCAGCCTTGGCTGGCTCTAGTTGCTCACACAGTGCCTGCACCGCCACCTTCTGGTGGGCCTTGGCATAGCACCTCTTGCTCTCTGATTACTTCCCGCCTGGCTCCCTAATGGTCCCAGGACAGATTGGGGGGTGGGGGGAGCTTGAACCAGAGCCCCAGTCATTCAGCTCCGTCTCTCTCCTCTCTCCCCAGGCTGGGAGGAGTTTCCTGCTCCTTCCTCAGCCCTCACCACCCGCCTAAGACAGCCAGAGTCATGTTTCCAAGGGAGATGGTATCTGGTTCATCTAGTTATTGACACATCCATTTTTTATCCTTCCAGCCAGGGTTGCCATGTGCAGCTGTGTGGGTCGTATATTGTGCAACTTGCAGTCTATGGGATTGGCACTTCCTAGAGCTGTGCAGGGCATGTAACTGCCTCTGATATCAACCATGGGTCAGAACTTGTGCTAGGAACTGGAGATACGGCTATGAACAAAACAGATACGGTTCTTGCCTTCAGGCCTAATAAGTTCATGCATTATATTATTCATGCATAATAAATTCATGCATTATTCATACATAATAAATAAGTAGGCATAGGCACAAATATTTTAAACTAGCGACTCATGCTGGGAAGGAAACAAACAAGGGCCCAAGCGGGTACAATGGGAGTCGTGAATTCACCCAGGAGGTCAGGAGCCCCTTCCCTTTCTGTGGGAGTCGCTCAGGGACAAGCATTCCGGGAGGAGGTAACAGAAGATGCAAAGGCCTTGAGGTGGGAAAGAGTTCGAGTCTTTGCCAGAAGGGCCACTGTGGCTGGCTCCCGGGAATAAGGGACACAGGGTGGGACATGAGGTGGGAGAGGTAGGGGAGGTCAGATTGAGCAGGGAGGCCCTCGTAGGTCAGGAGGGGGCTTTTGATGGGGCATATCGGGGCAATCTCTGATCTCCCACTTTAAAAGACCTCACCCTTTACGCAATCTAAGATGCCATCCACTGTAAGACCCCATTAGGAGGACAACACGCTGCTAATTAAACATTCATTGTCAGACACATGCTGATCTCAACGATCTTCAAATATGAACCTGCATATCTTGGCATCAGTGAAATATGGGAAGAATCCTCTGTCCTTGGGCAGACGGGGAACCTCCTGGGTCCTACGACCCACCCCAGGAAGAAACTGCAAAGCCTCTACCTGTTTCCTCCCCTCGGTACCGGCCAACCTGTGACATCAGGGGATGCTGGAGCTTAGCCTGAATCCACTTTGCTGCAGTATAGACCTGCTGCTTTTTACATGCAGCTCGGCGGTATGGCCCTGAGGCTGAGTCATGGCCAAGTCATGGCCTTGAAATGAGGACCAAGGCAGACCCGGCTTGTTAAAAAGACGGTTGTTGATGAGGGTACAGCTTATCGCACCAGTGACACCCATCATGTTATTTACCAGCTGGGGATACGCCGCAGAAACCCGAGCTGGCCCTGAGTGTTTCTCTCCCCTACTATCCCCACAGCTGGTCACACCATCCACGGTCACTCATATAATCCTGAGCCCACGCCCCCTCCCCAGCCCCAGACGTAGTAATAACCACAGCTAGTATTAAGTTCATTCCACATGCCCGTCCTATTCTGGGTATTGTGCCATCGATAACTCATTTATTCCTCCCCACAATTACTCATGCCCATTTTATGGAGGAGCAAGTTGAGTCATAGAGGAGTTAAGTCATTTGCCAAAGGTCACACAGGCAGCATGCCCCAAGGCTGGGATTTGAACCTGTGAAGTCTCAGCCCAGAAGCTACTTCGGCTAAAGTCCCGTTGCTTCCCTGGGCTCACTGTGTGACCCCAGAGGAGCAGCCTCCGCTCTCGGGGCCTCAGTTTGCCCCTCCGTAAAATGGGGCTGGAATCCAGCTGGGTGTGGATCCCCCTGGGTCCTGACCTCCCGGCACCCCCGGCCCCTGCCCCGACCTCTGTTTTGGCAGCCTATACAACAACTGCATCTGTGATATGGGAGCCGAGAGCCTGGCGCACGTGCTTCCAGACATGGGGTCCCTCCGGGTGCTGGAGTGAGTATGCCCAGGGGCAGTGGGTGGCCGGGGTCTGGGGCTTGCGGGGGCAGGGCTGCGGGCTCTCCTGCTGGCACCCTGGGAAGGGCGGGGCTGAGGTCTGGTTGCTGAGGGTATGGTGGCCTGGGGCTGGATAGCCCCGCATGGGGGCCAGACCCTAGGATGGGTGTCTCTCCCCAGTGTCCAGTATAACAAGTTCACAGCCGCCGGGGCCCAGCAGCTGGCCGCCAGCCTGAGAAAGTGCCCTCACGTGGAGACGCTGGCGTAAGTATCAGCCCGCGGCGGGCAGAGGGCCGCCAGCCCTCCTGTGAGCCCTGAGCTCAAATCCCACTGTGGCCCTCGCCGGTGTGGCACCTGGCCTCAGTTTCTTTGTCTGTAAAATGGGAGCGAGAACAATGCTTACCCCCAAGCAGTTCTTTGAGGTTTAAAATAATCTAGGTGTATAAAGCACTCGGAACAGCTGCTGGTACCTGAAAATGGCCAATGCATTAGGGTGAATGCTATGAAGGCACTTGTTTTCTATTATTTTGCACCCGGAAAATGTGGCAGTTTGGTTCCAACTTATGTATTGTTTTGTCCCAACGATGTCTGATGTCCAGTGTCGGTACTTTATGCTGTTCCAAGGCGCTTCCAGTACAGAATCACTCCTATCTTCCAAGGTAGATCTTAAGAGACCCACTTTACAGACGAGGAGAACAAGGCACAGAGAGGCTCACTAACCTTTCTGAGGTCGCACAGCCAAGTCATTAGCAGAACCAGGTCTAAAGAAAGGGGCCTCAGGGTGGTAGGAGGGGATTGAGGGCTTGCACTGGGGACTCCGGGCCCCCGTCTCTGCTCTAACCCGGCCCCTGCATGCCATGGCCATCGCAGGATGTGGACGCCCACCATCCCGTTTGGCGTCCACGAACACCTACAGCAGCTGGATTCGCGGATCAGCCTGAAGTGACCTCCGCGATGCCCGGGACAAGGTGACTGAGGTGGGCTTGGACGGGGAGAGCCGCGGGGGCTGCTGGGGTCAGTGTGATGTCAAGTCCGAGTCCGTAAAAAGTGGGCGGGGGCGGCAGGTGGGAGCTGGACCGTGCGGCATCTGGGGCGTCCCCCTGCGATTGGTGGAGGTGACTTTAAAGGCTTTGGGGACTCGGGCTCTGGGCGTCCTCCCTGTGGCCAGGGGTGGGAGGTGGGGGCAGGGCGTGGGGGTGGCTGTCCATGGCCCACAGCCCTTAGCTTTGAGAAGAGTTTCTAGAGGTCCCCAAGCCACCCTGCTGCTTCAGCCTGCTGGCTGTCCTGCAGTGTCCTCACAGGCATTTGCTCTACAGGTTTCTGTGCAATGACGGTCCCTTCACTTCCGCGCTCCCCCAACCTGTGATGTCTCCCTCCTCCATCATCTCCACCTCATCCCATCTTTTTTATTAAACTTTTTATTTTTTTTGAGCGAGAGAGAGATAGGCCGTGAGCCGGGGAGGGACAGAGAGAGAGAGGGAGACACAGAATCTGAACCAGGCTCCAGGCTCCAAGCTGTCAGCACAGAGCCTGACACGGGGTTTGAACTCACAAACTGTGAGATCGTGACCTGAGCCGAAGTCGGACGCTTAACCGACTGAGCCACCTAGGCACCAACCCCCATCCTGACAGCACTCCATCCTGGGTCAAGCTGCCCCGTCTAAAGCTTTCTGACCTACCCCTTCTCCTGGCCTCTCACAGCATGTTCTCTGAGGACGCCGACCACGCTGGACCTTGAACTGGTTGTTTGTGGACGCGGTGCTTCTTGGGCCATCGCCCGTGAGCCTCAGCATCCTGGCGCCCGGCCCTACCGGCTCAGGGCCGGCCCCCACCCAGCTCTGGGAAGGCCTTTGGCCTGCTCTGCGGACGGACCCAGGCCCGGCTCCAGGCTCCTGCGGGGCCCAGGTCGATGCCGGCCCCGACGGACGGGTGCACAACCGGTGGTGACGCAGGCCACCCAGGGGCCCTGAGGCATCCCGCAGGACGCTCCTGGCAGCCGTGGCCGGGTCGGAGTGAGGGATTGAGGCGGCCACATCTCTGCCTCCCCAGGTCCCTGTCCGCCTGGGGAGAAGTCACTTCTCTGCACTGCTCTCCTAACAAGGATGCCGGGTGCTCTCAGGACACGGGCGGCTGGCCCCACCTGCCGATTTCCCTGTGACAGGCGGGGAGTCTGTGGCAGCTGCTGTCCGTCTCCAGGACTCACTGTTTTGCACTAACTTTGTCGAGGTCGAAGCTCCCCCCGGCCAGACACACCGGACTTGAGCCGGAAAGAGCTGACCGTGCCCTAATGGTGGGGGGAGGGGAGTGGGCCGGAACCACACCTGCCTCTCGGCCTTCACTTCTTGGGTCATTTTTTCACTACAGGATAAAGGGCCCGTTGCATCTCACAGGCATGTCCACGGCTAGAGTTTCTACCACGATCGCCGTTGTGGGGGGTGCCCGCTGTTCGGTTATCTAAATGCATCACAAACTACCCCAAAATGCAGTGGGTTAAAACAACACACACGTTTACTCTGCTCACACGCCTGTTATGTGCGCTGTGCTGGGGGGGGTTGGTGCACAACTCGTCTCCGCCCCACTCAGTGTCAGCTGGGGCAGCTTGAAGGCTGGGGCTGGCATCATTTGAAGGCCCGGTCACTCCGTGCTGACTGGGGGTCGGGGGCCTAGGGTCTTGGTTCCTCTAAGGAACTGCCAGAGGAGGACCTTTCCACGCGGGCTGCTTTGGGACTTCCTCCTAGCACAGTGGCTGTGCTGAAGGGCGATCACCCAAAACCGAAGAGAGAGACAGGGACAGGGACAGGAACCATGGACCACAGGGAGAAGCATCCTTTTTATAACCCAGACTTGGGAGTCACAAAGCATCACTGTCTCCTTATTCTTTGCTCGGTAGGACAGGGGCCAGGGTTCTACAGTCCCCCACTCCTCGCAGCACCCCCAGCAGAGACCACGTGGGCCCCAAGTCCTGTCTATTTGGAAAGGATCTTTCTACGGCATCCTGAGCTTTGGTGGACAGTTTGTTATTTGGGGATCAGTAAGTTGAAGCACCATAAGCCTTGCAGAGGGGATGTTTTCCTCTGCTCTATGCTGGGAGCCGTTCCTCAGTCAAGCTGCAATCCTGCCCTGGCCGAGGTGAGCCTGGAAGGGACCAGAAGCTTTGCCATCTGCACAGAGCGCTGCCAGCTCGGCTCTTGTTGTTGCTTTTTTGCTGGAGCATGACCCACTTGGTCAGAAGTCCTGATTCAGGAGAAGTCTGCTTTCTCCTGGTGGCAGGGGGAGCTGTCTGTTTGGCTATAGTTGCACCAGCCCTGATGCCTGGGTCCCAACTCTCTGTTTCCCAAAGTTGGGGGGCAGGAGTTAGGAGGGTCAGAGGGATTCGGTCCTTGCAAAGAGGTGGAGGCCTTTTTTCTCGGCCCAGCTGCAAAGGACACCAGGCGTTGTGACCCAGGTTTTTTTTTGTTTGTTTTTGAGAGAGAGGGTGCGAGTGGGGGAGGGACACAGAGAGAGGAGGACAAAGGATCCGAAGCGGGCTCTGCGCTGACAGCAGGAAGCCCGATGCGGGGTTTGAACTCACGAACTGCGGGATCATGACCTGAGCCAAAGTCGGATGCTCAACCGACTGAGCCACCCAGGTGCCCCCAGGGTTGGGTTTTAAATAGCTGGGGCATCACTCCTCAGGGGGTCCCGGCATTTGGGGATTGCATGCCATCCACGGGCTCCCGTTTGTATAGCTACAGGGGTGAGCACTGAGCCACCCCCCCCACCCCAGTGCAGGCCTCTGCTGGCACCCCTCAGCCGGGCGGGGGGAGGGGCACCATCATACCCACTGCTTTCGGTCTGTTCAGAGATGACACATTCCCATCAGAAGCCGTGATTATTCGTCGTTCGGACTCTTGAATGATAGCTGCCATTTATTAAATGAGCTGATACATGTAAAGTGCTTATCACCGTGCAAGGGATATAATAAGTGTTCGATAAATATCGGTAATGATCACTTTGTGCCAATACTGTGTGAAACCCTTCCTGCTCAAAGGGACCACGGTCTAGGGCCAGCAGCACAGACCCCCAGAGCTAGACTGCTTGGGCTCAGTGCCCAGCTCACCACTTGTGCAGATTCCTTCTCTGTGCCTCGGTCTCATCATATGAAAAGTGGGCATAGTTACAGCATCCCCTTCATGGAGGTTACGCAGAGATCCAGGGAGCTAATATGCTGACAAGAGCTGGCATACAGCTCAATACTTGTTAGCTGTCCCTATTACATAGGAATATGTGTTTTCTTCCTGCGTCTGCCTGGAATGTTCTTCCTGGCCCTTGGGACAACTTCTGACCCTGTAGGACTCTGTTTAAAGGACAGCAGCTCCTTAGGAAGGTCTACCAGACCACCCTATTGAATAGATGCCCCTCACTCCCACTCTCCAAATTGGTCTGTCGTTTCTTTTTCATGTTTATTTGTTGTGTTGTCTGCTTTTGTTCTGGGATGTGGGCTTCAGTAGGGCCGGTCACCTGTCTGCTGTGTTCATTGCTCTGTCCTCTGCACCCAGCAAGGTGTCTGAACATAGTAAGTGCTCAGTAAATGTTTGTGGAATGAATGATCCTCACCACTTTGCTTTCTTTCCTTTTTTCATTCCACAAACATCTGCTGAGGGCACGGTAGCATACTCAATAGAATGCTCAAGGTGCCTGCTCTGGGAAGTCATGTATTTTAGTCAATTAAAAAAAACTCCCCAGGTAGGGCTGTCTGGTGTGATTGGGCGGTCTGTGCACTGCACCAAGGCACCTGGACAAGGGGGCACATGGGGGCTGCAAACCAGTGTGGGCTCTGCTTGCCAAGCTGGGAGTCCTGATATGGAGCCATGGGAGCCCAGTGGGGACCTTGGTAATCAGCACCAAGTCACGTTATGAGGTACGTAAATTACTGTCCCCATTTCTCAGAAGTGGCTTGCCTAAGGCCACACCCCTGTAGAGGAGGGAGTCAGGAGGCAAACCTGCCTTCCGCTTTCCTTGGGGGAGTGGGTGTCCACAGGCATGGGCACAGCATGCTGGAATCGCTCCCAGAGCGCCACTCGCTGGGTGGGAGAAGGGGCCGGGGCATCTGTCTGGAGTCACGCTGTGCGTTGATGGCCTGATTCCACGTCTACTGCATCTTTTGAATAAATCCTCAGCTTTCCCCTCCGGTCTCTCGCCCCATGAAAGCATCTCCCTTCGCAGGCTCCCCTCTCTCCTTGGGTCTCTCAACTATGTCCTGGTCACCTTCCCTGGCGCCCTTTCTCAGCACAGGGCGACAGGGGGCGCTGTAGCTGCCTTTTCCCTGAAGATCTGCGGGCGGCCTGACCCCCCCTCACCTGTGTCCCCACCCACACAATGCACCAATCCTTGTACCTTGCTTAACACGGTGCGCACGTGATGGTGTCTCCTTCCCTCCCCGTGTCCTTCCATCATCCCTAGCACAAGTCTCTGGGTGCGTCTCTGGGATCCAGGCCACCACGCCCCGCAGGCTGGGCCCAGCCTCTCCGCCTGGACTCCCACGCCAGCCCAGCTTGGCCCCAAGCTGGAGAAGCCTGGCCTCTTCTGCCCCTTTGTCAAGCACGGGGTCCTGCATCAGGGCTGCTTTCCCGAATCTCAAAGAAAAAAACCCAAAAATAGGCAGGGCCCCCACAGGCTGGAGTTGGTTGCATACATTTTTTAATTGAAAGAAGTCAGCCTCCTAAGTATTGCTTTTACAGGCTTATCGACATCAAGTATTCATACCGCTCACATTTGCAAAAACATTTCTGGCCAGCGGAGCAGCGAGGCACCCCCCCGCATGACGGATCAGTCCTGGCGACTTGATGCAGAACGAGCAACTGGAAACGAATAAGTCAAGCCCGACCCTCGCCCCCGACACGATCCTTGGCTTCTTTTCCTTCTGACTTACTCCCTGAAATAGTCGCTGCATCTAAGACCAGCCTCGGGGCCAAACCTGGCCAAGCTTTGGGCTCCGCTGGCCTCCAACGGAGCTGGGAGTGGCTTCCGCAGTGGGTCCGCAGTTTGAAGCATCCTCTCGGAAGATGAAGTGTGGAGAAGCAGGAGCGGTCGGGGGTGAAGAGCGGGGAGGCAGACTCTGGCTGGGTTCCTGTAAACATCCATCGCCAATGCGAAGGTCAGAAGCCAAGGCAAGGCCATTTGTGCGACGCTGAGGGTGGGGGAGGTCTTCGGATGCCCCTGCCTTTCCCTGGGGACAGGGGTACAGGCCTTCCGGGCCTCGGCTCTCAGTCTCCATCTCTCTGCCCCACCCTCCTGGGTCCGGACAGAAACCTCTCTGTTGGCACGGAGCTCTCGGGGGAAGCAGGCCTAACGAGAAGGGAAAAGGGGTGTTACTGGCACAGAAGCACCGCCCGCCACCCATCTGGGGGTATATCTGGGTCCAACCTCCAGGCCCCGGGAGGCCAAAGGAGGGCAGGGAGGCCTTCCCCCATCTCTTGCATTCAGAAACCATCAGAAGCTCCAGACTCGGGCTGGGGGTGTTTTCCTACAACTTTTACTAATACCTTTTTTTTTTTTTTTTTTTCTAGTTTATTTACTTTCGAGAGAGACAGAGCGTGAGTGGGGGAGAGGCAGACAGGGAGACACAGAATAAGAAGCAGGCTCCGAGCTGTCAGCACAGAGCCCGAAGCGGGTCTCAAACCCACCAACCGTGAGATCATGACCTGAGCCGACGTCGGCCGCTTAACCGACTGAGCGCCCCACCCCCCACCCCGGCGTCCCATTACTGATAACTTTGTAACAA